ATCATAAACATTACACGATTTAACCACTAGAGGGCAGCAGTGTTAAAACATTTAATGAATCATAAACATTACAAGATTTAACCACTAGAGGGCAGCAGTGTCACATCATTTAATGAATCATAAACATTGCACGATTTAACCACTAGAGGGCAGCAGTGTTAAAACATTGAATGAATCATAAACATTACAAGATATAACCACTAGAGGGCAGCAGTGTTACATCATTTAATGAATCATAAACATTACACGATTTAACCACTAGAGGGCAGCAGTGTTAAAACATTTAATGAATCATAAACATTACATGATTTAACCACTAGAGGGCAGCAGTGTTGCATCATTTAATGAATCATAAACATTGCACGATTTAACCACTAGAGGGCAGCAGTGTTAAATCATTTAATGAATCATTAACATTACACGATTTAACCACTAGAGGGCAGCAGTGTTAAATCATTTAATGAATCATAAACTTTACATGATTTAACCACTAGAGGGCAGCAGTGTTAAATCATTTAATGAGTAATTACACGATTTAACCACTACACTACATTGGTAGAAAAAATGAAGACGACAGTGGTGCCATAACCTCCCCCCAAAAGTCTAAATGTGTGCGCAAGTACAATCCTGACTTTCTTAACACTTTCAGTGTGTGGAATGTGGGCTAATGCTATCAAACGAAGCACTGAAGCCTTCAAAAATAAAGCGACACCAAGCGACGAAACATCCAACGCTCGTGGGAAAGCCTGTTGGGCTTCTTGTTGTGTATGCAGGTTTACATACACATGATAAATAAATGTTTGTGATCATCACATTGTATCATCTTTTATTTGACAAGGGTTTTGCCTGTTCAACTCCGCGAGGACGCCGGCGTCCTCGATCCCCTCCCCTTTCATTCCGTTCCTACGGCTTGCTTGCGCAAACTACGTCACAAAACATGGCCGTGTTTGGTATCCCAGCATGCCCAAAACCCTCATCTTTGCAAAAAAATCATCGATTTTCTTTCATTTCTTATGGATTTTTCACAAAAGGAGCCCAAACACACACTGTCCAAAGTCGCCATAACCGCTGCAAGTCGGATCTTGCAGCATTTCGACGGAAAAAGACACATTACAGACCCAACAATGTGCTAGCGGATGTTACCATGGAGCTAGTAGCTTCAGAAAACGCTAGTACTTAATGTACAAACCTTATTTCTCTTTTATAAGCCGTCAACCAACGTATAACCTTGCGTAACTGAGCTCCCTCATACTCGATCGTGCGCTCAGTCGCAGCTATTGCGCACAGTAAGTACTTACTTACCACGTCTTCAACTATATATATATATATATATAGTTCTTGCAATTTGCAAAGGCTAAAAATAATGAATCAAAATATAAAGGGAACACCTTTATACACCAGAATATCATTTGGTTACCATGTGTCCATTTGGGTCTCCAAATATCCTTTTAGAGCTCCGCCTGGATCTCTTCATGGAAAAAAACACTGTAGAATCATACTTTGTCCAATCTTCTTCAAATTTGAGGCAGTTGTTCACTGATAGTGTAGTTACAGCCCTATACTGTCATTTACCTGTACAGATACAGCCACAGGCAGTTATTTATACTGAAAGATACTTTATTTTATGCAGACAAAAATCTTCAATTTTTACTGACTCCAAAGGCCCACTGCTCTGTTTCTATATGACCTACAGGTTTTCTGACACTTTTGATGCATATAGTCAGTGGTTCAGAAGCTACAGCCATTTTAATTTGGGTATGTCATTTTAGGCGGTTTTGCTCCAAAATAGGGGTGGAGTTGAACACGTAACAATATAGTTATTGAATACAAATCAAACCAAGAGTGAGATCAATTAAACTAATAGTGTTAATATTTGAATGGGCCCCGGGACACTTTGTACTTGAAAAGTTGAGCCCCGAGGTCAAAAAGGTTAAGAACCCCTGTTTTAAAGTAGTCTTCAATGTACTCACAATACATTTCCATTTCAAATGTACAGTAACCAGCCAAAGAGCTGCTTCTGTGACTGTGTGTTTAAGTATCCCATAACTTCGACTATGGGGATATTTTTATTATCAAGTTGTTTTTTTTTAATAAATCTGACGGAGTCGCAGGCCACATAAAATGACATGGCGGGCCTGATCCGGCCCGCGGGCCGTATGTTTGACACCCCTGGTGTAGATAAAATGAACATTTTCAAATGGTAGTTTTAGCATTTGTTCAGATTTGCAATAAATCGACATTGATTTAAATACACCGAGACATTGTAAATCACAACAGAAAATGGATTTGTTTGTCATTTTTATTGTGGCAATACAAATACACATTTTACTTAGATTTTTGGCTCTGTGCCTGTGCCTTGAGCACCTTGACAACGATCTTCTGCTCCTCAATCAGGAAAGCACGCTTGATCCTGAGAATGGAAGCAAAACAGACGATTTAGAAATAATGCATGAGCCATTTACAACTCACATCAATGTAATCAGAGACTGGACTCATTCTTGTTTCCATGTTGTCGATTAAAGTAACTGTTCTGAGTAGTGGAGGTGACAGCTTATCAGTCTTAAATCAAGACAAATGCATCACTCCAGCTTCTCAGCAATAAAATAAGTAAGTAACTTATTTTACCTGTCACGAACACACTTTGCGCACATGGAGCCTCCGTAGGCCCTGCTGACGTGCTTCTTGGTCTTGGAGAGCCTCATCAGAACCTGAGGTCTAACAGCCCGGATCTACAAGACAGAACAGATCCACAATGAGACCGACACCACTACCAGGGGAAAGTTTTCCCCAAATATATTCAAAAGGCAGTGATGAATGTAAACAGTCTCTGTGCTTGAAAACAACCAAACTCCCCACGGTAAGCTGCTCAATAGAAATGACAAAGGAAATGTTTCCAGGCATCCTGGGAGACGGAGGATTTGAACAGTGCGCTCAAAAGAATAGGAGGTGTAACTTTGAACTGTGCACCAAGTTTTTAATACTACCATCGTCATAAATGCAATACCTGTACATTTTCTTAGAA